TATAAATAACTTAAAACCAAACTCAATAAAATTAATTTAAACTCAAAATAAATATTACAAAGACAAAAATTGTGTCAATAAATAAATACTCTAACATTTAATTATAAACTAATAACAATAAATATAATATTATTATCATTGAATCAGTGTAATTGTAAAAATTTTGTGTAATAAAAATAATTCAAAATATTATTAAAAATTCATATGAACTGTGGGAAGAATCAAAAAACTATTAATTAAAATCTAAAATGAAATTAATTTAATTTTGAAAACTTTCGACAATTTATAAAAAGTTTTAGCTTAACGATTATTTATTAATTTTATAAACTTTAACATTTAAACAATTTTCTTGTAAGCGCAAAAGTTTAAAATTCCATAACTTGGGAAATGAATTTCTTGGACGCAATGCTGCGGTAAGATTATCAACTTCTGTTAACTTCAGTTTATTAGCATAAGCCATGAAGTCCCAAAGTTTTTGTTTCAATGAAAGTTTATCTCAACTTTATAGCTAATATAATTTAATATAATTTTAAAAAATGCAAAGTTACATGTAATTAATTTAATATAGAAAAATGTCAATATATTCCTGAAAAAGATAATATGTTTATTCAGAGAAAATATAATGTGAAATTTATTAAAATTTTGTAAAATTAATTTAAAAAATATATATATAAAAATTAAATAAAATTCTGATATATAGAAAAAAGATGTATATAAATAATAATGCACTACTAGAGAACAGCGCAATTATAAATTACATGTTTTTAAAAGTACAATTAAAATAAAATTATATTTACTACAACTATTCACGATACCCTGTAATAAGTTCGGTAATCAAGTAATATGGTAACACTGTTCAGTGCCAATAACAAAATGCATTTACTCGAAATGTATCATTTTACACGGTTACTGTTATACTCAGTTTCTTGTGATCATGAATACTCCCTTGCTACTTTTATGTGATGAATAAGTTAATATAATGTGATTTCTGCTTCAAATGATACTTCTACTTTCATTTTTATCTATATATTATTATTAGTATTAAAAAAAATTTAAAACGTGAAATCGGCCAACAGCTTGTACTGCGAAGAGTCCTATCATACCGATTTTACTATTGTGTACACAAAGCTTTGTGAACAAAGTCCAGAACTAAATCTAGAGAAGAGTTCTTTATGTGTTCTGGTGATAGAAATTCCATATTAATAAGTTTCTTCTGTGCGTTATTAAAGCTGAACAGTCACTAAGAATATACATAATAGTTTCCTCATCTTCGAAGCATAATCTGCATTCCGGATTATCAGATAATTGTATTTTATGAAGGTGATATTTCAGACCATTATCACTTGTAATGAAATATTGATTATTTGATTGTTATTCGTTGTGCTATAAAATCCATTTTTGGTTCTATGTGACTGAAATTTTAGTTCCTTTTCTAATATTTTTAAGTAAATATTTTAATTTTGGTTTTCTTAATGATTCAAATAAAACTTTTCTCTCTTTTTAATATGATATGTTTAACATTAAACTAAGTGATAGCAATACTATAATATCGGAATGATCCATAGAGAAGTAAAAATCAAACTAAACATTTTAAAAGATTTCATTCAGGCAAAGATTGAAACTCATGGCTATTTGTAAAAGGTCATTAGGACCATAATTATATTAAGAAATAACTGCTATTAAAAACTACTAAACTTCAGTATCCGCAGTTGACTTAAAATCAGCTTTACAATTGGAAAAAATGTTCATATTATATAGAATATCTAGAACCATTTTTTGTAAAGAAATAAAATTTGTTTCTATATAAAACAAATTTGTTTATATTATTTCTATCTCTCAAACTCTCTTTCTCTGTCTCTCTTTTCCTCTTTCTTTCCCTCTTTTGCTTTTTTTCTCGCTCTCTTTTTTCCTTCTCTTTCCTTTTTTTTATATCCGTCCTTCTATTAATGTTCCTTTGTGTTTTTCTCTTTTTACGTATTTGTTTCTCTTTATCCCCCTTTTTTTTAAAATTTTTTTCTTTTTTTGTGTCCCATCGGTCCTTGTATTATTTGTTACTCTTTCGTGATTTTATTATTTTTCTATTTTTGATATCAAATTTTTTTAAATGGTTACTATTAGGTATCTGCGTTTATTACTTGACCACTCTTTATCTCTGTACGTCTTTAATATGGGTTCCTTTCTGTTGCTTCCTTTTAATTCTCATTTGTTGCTTTTTCGTACATTTTTCTTTTATTTTGGAATATTTTTTCTATTATTTAAGCTTATTGTCTTCCTGTTTTATCTGTTTTCTATTATATGGCACAATACACAATCCGCTATGTCACTTCTTCGCCTTAACTAACCCAAGCCCTATGGTCTTCTTCTTATGAAAATAAAAGAAAGACTATAGCAAGTTTAAGATTATCTGTTTCCATCACTAAAACAGATTAATTTCTATCATTACCTGGAATTTCCTCTTATCTCATTTATATTGTGATTGAGACACTACTCCCATTATGTTGTTATATATACCTTTCATTAATTTTTCCAATTTCTTCTTTTTTTATCTCCGAATAATAGTTACAGTCACGTTTTTTTTTTGGTGTATGACGTATATGTTTTCATTATATTTTTAATAGTATAATTTTATAAAATTTGTTGATTTTATTAAATATTTATACTTGTGGATAAGGTTAAATCACCAAGTAGTACGAAAATTGATTTGGTGCTTTGTTAATTATGAATTTGTAGACTAATGTTCATTACGGTCACACATTTACCCTAATCCACTTTGACTTACAACGAAATCAATTAAATCACCTTAGGCTGCCCAGAACCTAACTATTGCAACCAACAAGTGAATCATAAATAAACAAACGAATTAATCTACAAGACGGTCAACCAAATTCAAATTATTCTTCGATTAAATATTAGCACATATATGCAATATATATATATATATATATATACATAATTATATAACGTATGAAATGCGTTTACATACAATTGGGATAACTAAATCGCAGATATTAGATAAAGATATGCTTTGTATAGTGGATGTCAGGCTAATGTATTTATTGAAACTATTTGCAATTAATCATGAACGCTTTTGTCTACTGAATTTAATTATATTGTTACCTTGATCAGTTTTACAAAATATTTTAATCTAGAAATTGCCTTTAGGAGTTTCAAAATCATATAGAATTACTTTAAAGAAAATACGAGTCGTCTCCCTTAAGTCGTCTCCCTTAATGAGACGACTCAGCCGTTGACCATATGCTAGGTTGTTAGAATGTATTGCAAAACTACAAGGTTAAACAAATTCCGAAGAACAGGTTTGACCACGTATCCCTGTATAAGAATGCACAGGGAACAAATACTATATAGTACTTTTTCCGTTAACTTCCGATAGATTACTGGCACTATCTTTGCAATCGCTACATCTGATTAAATTAGAAAACCAAAAAAAAAAAAATGTAGAGGGTTACGATATCTGCGATTGAACAGCGGAATGGAGTAGAGGAGCGAGAAATCGCTTCGAAGTAGAGGACAAGGAATTGGGGAGGCTTGTGGAATAGAGCTTAGAGAAACTCAGTAAGTACTGTAAGCAATTAGCTAATACACTATAACAATTATAGTGCCACATTGGCTATGATTTAATTATGATAATAAGTAATTTTTATGATTTTACAGAAGTATAGTTTGAAGTCAATCACATCTTCATTAAGCAAAGAGAGAGATATCTTTGCATATATAATATATATATTATATCCAAAGATAAATGTGAGTTGAGTGAGAGGAAATTAAATATAATTTTTGACCTAATCGAATATATAGGGTATTTAAGTTTTTGCGAGTAACAAAGTAGATGGGTAGTGCTTTGCATTTACTCATTGGATTCATATATGTTATATTATATTACATTTCTGTGCTGTACTTCTAATTTGTTCTGAAATGTATCTGAAATATGTTGAAGTGGCTATATATATACCATTTATTAAAACAAAGAAACTCAAATTTAGGTTACTAAAAGTCATCAAAAAATATTATCTTAACAAAATTTTAATTCAGCAAAGCATTTGAAGAAATATTTCGATTTTGTAATTAGTGTCCTATATTTAATTTTTAATATAATTTCGTAAATGAGAAATTTACCTAAATGAGAGGAAATAACATTCAAAGCTTAATGTAGCATTTGCATAATGTCAGAGTTGGCAATGCTGTAACAATTGTTGCTTTCAGAATTGCTATTTTAAAAATGCAAATACAAAAAACTAATAGAATTTTTTTTTTAAATGAATGTACCCTAAAATCCATAGAAAAATTGTTTACTTAAGTCAAATAGATTTTTAAAATTTTTTTCGAATTTTTTTGTTTGTGTTCTACATTTTTAAAGCTTTTTAATGTTTTATCTGTCATGAACGCACATCTAAGCTCATCTTTGGAAAATGTAGAGCTTTGCCTTGCTTTTGGGTGCAAAACAGTGAAGAAAAACAAAGAAGGAAATTCATTTCAAAGGATTTTTACACATGGCAGCGTTTTTTAATTTTCAGTTCGAGTTTTAAAATGCACCATAAATAGAAGCACGAAACAACGCACACCAGCACACCATCACTCGAAGCACGCCAACACACACATAAAAATAAGTGGCAATATGAAGCACACACATGCACATTGCAGTGTGGCAACACTGCTTCCACAGTCTACATATTCACACGTCATGTGTAGACTAATTACAAAATAAAAATGAGTGTGCACACTTCTGCACATTATTATTATGATATTTTTTTTGTTCTTTCCTCTGGCTGGCACTCTTTGCTCTTATGTGCACATTATCTTTACTAACAATTTGCCATTTTTTCTATCTTCATTTTGGAATTTTCATTTCCGCATTTTCAAGAATTTGTTGAATTTTTAATTTTTCAATTATATTCAATATTTTTTTAATTTGAAATAAATTCGTTCTTACATTTTAATTAATTCTTTTTATTCCATTAAATAAACAAAAGTACAAATACACATTAGCCTCTGCCAAACGGTGGACTTGCATTAATTAATACATAATAAACGCCACCATGACCTTTCAATATACTTGCATCAGCCGGATCACCACCCATTGTCAAGTTTCTACCTGTACCCATTAAGCATCGTCGATTTTTGATTAAATCATACCACAATTGTACGTCGCAGCCTTGTCCACGAAATGCCGTTTTCCATAGTAACGATTCGGCAAACACTTGATATGCCCTAAAGTGACTGCATTCATTCAAAAAACATCCTGGCTGATTGCTACCATAGTTAATGTAAAAGTCAACATGGCCCAGTGGGCGATCGTAACCATAGGTACCATCACTTGTGTGTATAACTTCGACATAGTCCGCATCGGTGATTGCTACTCGTTCATCAATTTTGTCATAGCTAAAGAATGGCAGTGCAGGATCAAGTGCGTATATTACTGGCAAATGTCCATATTGTACAAATTTGCCTGCTATGCCTGCAATATGTGCACCCATACTAAAATCCGTCACATGTATATCTTGATAGCGTATGCCAGCTTCCATATGTAAAAAGTCTATGAATTTTGCTAGTATCTTGCCCACCGGTTTAACGCGATAGCTTGCTGTTAGGTAGTCTGCTATAGCACCACGTCCCCAATCCACGGTAAAAACGTTATAATTACCCGCTTTTAAGTAGGCTGGCACCAATGTGCTAAAGACGTTCGCATGTGAACCACCTAACCAACCGTGTATGAGAATTCTGTAAAATGTAGATATTTTGGAGAGTGAAAGATATTCTATAGGTATAATTTTGATATATAATTATTTCAATAGAAAATTAATATTAAATAATGTTAAATATTAAAAATGTTATAAATATTAAATATCGTTAATCGCCATAAAATTCTTTACAAATTTGCAAACGTTATAAATGGTTAAAAATTTAACATTGCTCATGTGATTCTATTTTTTTAAAAGAAAGGCTGGAGGACAATTCACGTGAAGATTAAAGTTCACGTGAAGGTAGTTTAACAAAACTCTAGTAATCTTCGTAAAAATACAGCACATGATTTTGGAAGATAGTTGACTTAGGGATGTATAGTAAACTTTCTATATTACACATAATAAGCTATAGCTTATGCATACACATTGGTTTCAATGAGCTGGGTACACAGCGTACACTATATTGGCTAACTTACACGAATACAAAAATGATTCTGTGAAATGCCAATTGGTATGTACAATATAATAATGCATAATTTTGCTGGCCAAAGATGGGCACTGACCTAGCTAATACAGTTCTGTAGTACCACAACCATGAAGAAAGTAATTATAGAATAGATCAAATCTCACTCCAGCTTCTTTTAGGTAGGTAGGTATGTGCAGTGGAAAAAAGAAATGAATCCTTTTCAATTAGCTAAGAAAGCCGTTTTGATTCTCCTTCCTTTGTAATAGTGGATAAAAGAATGCGCATATTAGAACTACTCAGGTATTTTGACGAAAGCAAGGCTCTAGCTAATTAATAATAATAGAAATATAGCCAAGTTAGTTAAAGTATGGAGAGCCCAATAGCTTAACCCTGACTCTAGATATAGACACAACAGTTGCTGTAATGTTTTTTTTTCGAGTATCGGTAGACATGTATTATAGGAGATAGACTATCTAAGCCTAGGTCCTCATCGTCCTATAGTCCAGTATCTCGTTAGGATAGATATGAACTTAGATATTTCTGATTTACTTTTGTATGCCAAGTCGAAGATTCTCCATTTGGAGTAAAGAGGTCATGTAGCTCTTGACCTGACTGCTAAGGAAGTATGAGCTCAAATCATATTTGCATATAAAAAAAAATTGTTATAAATCAAGTTTCGTCTGTGGCTGGTTGGTGCCACAGACACCATAGAACGACTGGTTCCATAGAAGAGGCGCCAAATGTAGCTAGCTCACTGAGTCAATAGCGTCGTAACTAGGATAAACCAAATCTCATTAGAGTTCTTTCAAACATGCAATAATATGTAGATTCTGAAACGGTGATATTGTGTAGATTTCACTTTATTTGAAGCAGCTGACTGGTACGCTTTTTCTTCAATTTGGACAAAATCTTAAAATAAATCTTTAGATTTAACAAAAATATTCTTTCACTCGGCATTTGAAATATTTTCAGGGGGATAATTTAAAAGAAATGTACATTAGTCAATATTGCTTCTCACAACCACACCAAAAATCAATAAAATTAGTAAGTAATAATTCTCTATTGGAATTTCATAAAATATATATTTAGTGTTACATTTATACTTTTTTACTTAAAAAATTTACACTAAATCTCCTTGACACATATTTTTCTTGAAGTAACCAACCACTTTCATGCCTTCATATTGTTTAACAAAGCTCAAAATCACCTACATAACACTGCTCTGCTCTGTCGTACTGAGCACACGCATGACATACTTCGCCCACACTTACCTTGTTGGATTAAAAGGACTAAAGTTGGATTGCCTCAATGAATCTGCATTGTACAGTTGCACTTCCTCCACTTTTATTGTTGGACTACCAGTAGAAATGGCTGAATTCACACCGAAAGCAAAGCCACTTACAACATTTAAAACATTTTCACCTGCAGCAGCAATGCCATTCGAACCAGCAGCCTGTGCTGGATTAGAGGATAGTTTTTTGTTGGCAATGGTGTGCAATTGAAAGATTGTATGTCGTTCGGCATTAAAGAGAAAATTATAGTTTTCCAATTGCAATTGATCACTGCCCAGAAAAGCCACTAAAGGTTCGAATGGATTGACAAAGGCATTGGAATAAAATTTAACATTATTATTGATTAGTGGTGTGGGAGCAAGGTTTGTTGCTGTGGTGATTTTTCTATTTCCGTTCGTTGATCTACTACTGACAATCTGAACATATTTCACTTTTCCATTGTCAGCAATATAAATATTACCAGCATTGTCCACACCGACATTCAATGCTTTAACTCCATCTGTTTGCTTTTGATTTCCTTGATAATAGTTTCTGTTCGCAATATTAAGATTGTTTTTTTGTCTAATCCTGTTGCCATTGCTATTGTTCATATTATTCAAATCAACATTTTGGTAACTGCTTATTTGATTATCGTCAACAACATTGTTGTTATACAAATCGCTCAAGGCTTCAGATGACTTTGATGCAAATTCTGGTGAAAGCTTGGCTTCAGAATGCTGGAAGTTCTGAGAAGCTGCAAAGTACAATACAAAATTTAAATATATTAAAATTCTCTTAAGAGAAAAATTTTGAATATCTTTTTGAATTATAAAGAATAAATTATAATTTTTTAAAAATTGAATAATAATTTTTTAAAATTTTATTTTAAATATAATACAGTAAATATGCAGCATTTGTTAATTAATATAACAATAAAACTATACTACATTGTTACCAGAATAATAATTTTCTTTATTTTTTTATAATAATTTAATTATTTTTTAATTATGTTGTTTGAAATTTGAATTTCGCAATTTATTGTAAATTAAAAAGGGTTTTTTTTTCAATTATATGCAAATATTTCTTGATGTATTTTATAACAGAATTTTTTTAACATTTAAAAATTGTTTTATTAAATATTTTAAATAATTATTTTATCGTTGTAGATTGTACTGCTTAATTATTAACTTTATTTTTATATCTCTATATATTATTATTTTTTTTTTAATATTATTAACTACTTTTGTCGCATTTTTTAGCAAATGTATATATATTATTTTAATTAATATAATTAATATTAATATTAATAATTAATATAACTTACATATTTATAAAGAAAAATTGATTAATGGAATTTAAAAAAAAATTTCTTACTAAACCTGCTAAAAGAAATAAAGCCAATGTTATCCACTTCATATCAATAAAACTCTCTAACTTTTAAATGCAGAAAAAATTTTCTACAAAAAGATTCGTACTAATATTAATAACTAATTTTACGACGTCTTAACAATACCAAACTAACTACTTTACTAACTTCATTTACAACCAAATTTTTTCCATAAGTTTCAAAAATTTTCAATAAAGACATGGATTTTTTATGTCAATGATCTTGACGGTATTTTAAGCAAAAGTCACAAATCATGGATTTAAAAATTTGTGAAAAAATTATGTAAACACATTTTTAAATAAACTCAAGATACAAATTATAAAAATTAAATATATAAATAAATAAATACAAGAAAAATGCTTTCATAGGTTCTGCAGTTTTAATACAATATTTCAAAGCAATCCAATGTTGTGGTGATAATGTGTCTTCCATATTTCCACTGCCATTGGCATCTGCCTGTGGCCAAGTTTTTTTTTCACACTTTTTTGTAAGAAAAATAATGAATGTATTTATATTTTAATTCAATATGAGATACGAAAGTAGAAAAGTACTTACTACTCATTACTTTCAGATAATTTTAAAAGCGTAGGCAAAATGTTTGTAAATAGATTGAAATTTGGCTTACACACAACATAAATTGTACATAGAAAATTGGAAAACGTTTTATGTCTTATAGGTATTTAATATTTTTTATTTTATTTTTTTTATACATATATTTGTAATGTCCAACATAGATTATGTGAAAAGATATTTCAAACAAGTAGATTTGTTAAGCTATTAAATCTTTTTTAATATATTTTGTTATACCACACTTTAAATAAGGGGTTTTTATATGTTAAATGTATCTTATATTTGGAATACATAATTATATATACAAAATATATTCTACACATATATATTTTTTTTACATCTTTGTTTTAAATTATATTATATATTAGTGGATTTGTCTCGTATATTGATTTTAAATAGTTTCCGTGTGCTCAACAAAAGTATTCTATATACGAGTATTTGTAGTAACAGTATTTTATTTTTAATTTACTTAGCGTATTTTATCACTTACATGCTATATATATTTAAACTTTGTACTTGCGATAATATCTGGTATAGTCATTTTCCTGATGATGTCAGCACCAAGTGCTATTTCGATTACATCCTTAGATATATGATTTATACTCAAAGCACGTTTTAATTTCATTCACATTTATTATAATTATAAATTTAATAAATTAAGATCCACTACTAATGACAGATCTAAATATATTAGGGAACTCAACAATCCTTTATTGTGTTGAAAAATTGTAATCAAACTTGTCACGTATCTTTGTATTCAAGAGAACCAATAAGTTTTTACTGAGATTTCAATTTTTGGTCAATGATCAAATAAATCGCCGTACCGTGATTGGAAATTGCATCAACGTTCTGTAAAAGTGCTTTCACTTAATTTGATTAAATCAAAATTGTCAAATTATAGCAATGGCAAAAACTTAGGAATTTCCAAGGTATTATCTATTTTATCCAAGACATTTGGAACAGTCGCAGGGGGCTAAATCTGGAGTATATGCTGGATGGGGTAGCAGTTCGTATCCCAATTCGTAGATTTGGGATCGTAATGCTTAATCAGCAAACTTATAGAACGGTTTTTTGAGTAGTAGTGAATTATAACAGCAAAAACTTATTTTGTATTAATTGAGTTTTTTAGCTGACTACACAGCTGCTTTCAGTATTACAAAATACTCATTACCAGTAGTCTTTGAAAATATTCAATGGTTTTATAAGTCCTATATTAATTGGTGTTCATGTATATATAAAATAAATCATTAAAAAAATTTTTCTCTTTTTTTCGAAGAACTATAGCAAAACATAGGTATAACATATAGTTAGTTATCAATAAAAAATTTTTATAAATGATTGTTATTATGTTTGTATTATTCCTGAAATTCTAACATATAATATAATCTAATTTAATTAAGTATTGTTTTAGTTTTAATAAACTGTTTTTTTTTGACTGTGTTTAAATATATTTTTCTATTTCCATATCTACTAATTGTAACTACTTTGCAGTAAATTAGTTACAACTGAAGGCTTTTGTTTAACTTATAATTAAACGGCTTTTAGTAGCTGGTATCTTTATTGCCTTTAGTAATTAATTTAAACTACAATAATCTGGGAAATGCTAATATCTTCTGGTATGTATTTCTTTTTATTTTGTTTATATAAATTTAAGAAAATGGATCTTAGCACTTTTCCTATTCTTTCTAATAAACTATGTCAAGTTAAAACGGAGTCTTATTCCAAATAAATTAACCACAATAATATAATTGTAAACTTTTTAAAAAACACTTACTTAAAGTTAATTTTGATAAATTAAAATTAAATGTCATAAAATGATTTTTACTTTTGCAGTCGACAATAATGAATTCAGTAATTTAAATTCAATTTAATACAAATAAATTCGGTTCGTTTTATTTGAGATAGATTTTTATAGAATACCAAGTTTTACTAGTTCCCAATATTTAACTGTATACATATAATTCTAGAAAGTTTTGTAAAAACCGCTTAGATTTAGATAAAGGTCTTCTTTTATTAATTGGATTTGATAAGGTCATAATGATATAAAGGAAAAAACTTTAAGGATGACCTTTGCATTTCCATTTTTATAATTCAATCTTTAATTTTGTATTTTTTTTAATTGTTTTGACTGAATAGCTGGAATAATTAAATGCCAGCTGAAAGTAAATCAAATAAGTTTAATATATTAGAAATATACAAATTATGTATGTGAAAACTCACTTTAATATAAATTCACAATATTGTATTAATATTTTTTTCTATTTGCTCTTATCAGGAACAAAGATACTAACCAAAGAAATAAATAATATATAAATATTTATTTTATTGTAAATTGTATCCCTTTTCAAAGTTCTTATACCTTTAATAAATAAATTAATGTAAAGTAAATAAAGACGCAATTGTATCTATTAAAAAAGTTATTTAGTTCGAATAAAAAAGGAAACCGTTTTGTCTCCTTAGTATTATAAATTCTATAAATATTTAATTTATTTGTATTTAATTTTGTCAAATTTACTTTGAAGCTGAGAGTCTTTAATATTTATAAAAGAAAGTTCCTATTTTACCCTTCTATGCACGAGTGGCCACAAAATTTTTAAGTTACTTAAATCATCATCATCATCATCGTCTTCCTCATCGACTTCTAAGGCAAACATCACTTGTTGCTAACTTCAATAATGAAACGTCATATTTATGAACAAATTTAAACTATTTTAATGATTGCAAATGAATTTGACAAACAATTTTAAACCAAAACACAAAACGTTTTGTGTTCCCCAAGACAAGTCCAAAAAGTAAAAATATCTCTACTGACCAACATTTCTCGCATTTGTGGGGTAGGTCAATGTACTGGAGTTGAAACACAGTTTCCAACTGTTATCTCTGTTGTACTATTAATTTTCCGTACTTTTTTTGTAATTTCTGCTCAGACTGACTTTTATTTATTTACATGCAGATATTGTATCTCCAACATCTGTTAGATACATTTAGTTTCGTTCGCTGTATGAGCTTTGCCTTATTTGCTTCTATTTGCATTTTGTATTTGCGTTAGAAATTCTACTATTTTTTTAATATTTTTTTTCTGCTATGAAAAGCTCTAAATTAAAAGATAGTAATGAAATATTTAATAAAAAAGTGTAATTTTTTACATTTTTGTTATATCTGCGAATAAAGATGTACTCTTAGTTTCATTTTGCTTAATTTTATTTATATATATTTTTTATTTGATATCTGACTGTACATACACATAAAGTTAGTTGAATAAAAAATTGAAATTAATCTTTCTTATCGAGGGACATAGTGATTTAATTAACTTTGAAATTCAGTTTTGCGAATAAATTTCATTCGAAATACTCATAGTTGTCATGTTTTAATATAAAAAGTTTTCATTTATTTTAAGTATTTATATTTATTTAAATAATATCAATTTAATGTACAAAATTTAATAGAGAGGTTTTTTCGAACAGTATTGAACTACAACAAAAACATATGTTTTATATTATTTTAATTAATTGAATTTTTGGCTGGCATCTGTATACATCTGTATAATGTATCGAGTATGCCAATCATCAATAGTCTTAGAAATAATTCTTGTATTTAATTTTTCGTAAATAATTTTTTGAGACTGCAAGTACCAGAGATTGAACTCATACCCTTCCCAATTTGAAGCTCAGAGTCAGCGCTCCTTAACCAACTGACCCTAACCGTACACCACTTTTATGTTCGCACATTTTTTTGGAGTTTTGTTACTTTGCTGTGAGAAAATTTAAAAGATAAAAATTGTATTTATAATAGTAGAATCCAAAGATCATTACAAGAATATTTATAAACAATTTTTCTGCATTCAAAAGAAACAAATTAACAGTTATGGTATCATTCTTTTTTAATACATTTGTTTTATTACTTAAACTGTATAAATAAAACAATAAATATTAAAAATTAGCACCATTTGAATTTTACTTCTTAGTACAAAAGGTTTGTACCGATATCCTGAAAGCCCACCACTTCAGATATAATAATTTCTTTTATATTCATCAAAATACCATTCTATTACTTTTGGAACCTACCTTGTGTATTCCAAATGGGAGATCAAAAATCGATTAGTTGCTGTCTGCAACGAAATTTTACTGAAATATTAGTAATCACAGAAGCTGGCAGTCAAAAAGATTGATTGATGCTGAACACATCCAAGTTGACGCTATCTTTAACCGAAGCACTGAACCTCTTACAGAACACTGTAGACTCAATTAGCACATGAAGAATATAGGTGCAGTAGAAACTGATTCTGTCATGAGGAGAAGAGAACATCAAAACTTATTCTATGCAACTGCCCAGCAGCGGCAAGACGTAGACTTGACTACCTTGAAAGCTTGATCTTAGTCTCAAATCAAATCGGTAAAATGAAGCCCACAGCAATTACGAGATACATAAATAGTCTAGAATTGTTTTAGTTGGGTCTTTAGTCGCACAGTAGATCTTTTAGGTCGAAGTGCATTCATAGCTTATTATTTAAACTGTCATTTTTTTTTAAGTTTAGTAATACAAAGTACTCTTTAAAAAACAATAAAGTATTTTTTGTGTGATTGCCCAGCTTTGGCTTTCCAGAAAACTAGGTTTTAGAGTAGCACTTTTTCTCAGTTTGTTAGACTGTTTATTGGTAACGACAAAGATTCAACTGTTTGTCTTAGATTAGACTGTTGGATTAGACAACGATTAGACTATTTATTGCTAAAACCTGTTAAATTATCTTAATTTAACGGTATGAAGTAAGTTTTTCTTTTTAGGTTTTTTTCTTGTGATAGCAGAACGGCCAATAATCGCCAATTATGTTCTGTCGCTTGTATGCTGATCTTTCACTGCAACCAACCAATCAACATACACCCAAAGAAATATATTGATTTAAAAGGGAACTAAATTTAAAAAAAAAAACGATTACTTAATTAAATATATCATGGAACAAATATGTAGAGCTAATTTACTATAATTTAGTTAATCGCAGTGACTAATAAGAAATGCTTTGATTTAATTAAGGGAATTATTTGTAAAGAAATAAGTAATTAATTTATTTGCTAATTCTATTTTAAAATTATTTAAAGAATTAAATTATAAGTATAAATAAATTTTTTTTATAAATATGTTTGTTAACTTTGAACTAACCTTTAATTTTCTTTCTTTTCTTCTTTCAGGTATGTTTACTGTTTTTTGATACTGTGAAATTTTATCTTAATTTAATCTACCAATTGGTAAGCTATCTTTATTAAATAACAATTTTGCAGGACGTGCATTTCTTGTTTGAAGACTGAATTTTAGCTCTGGCATTGTAAAAAATTTTACGCGTTATCTATCGCACATATAATTTTATTTTATAGTCCGAGCACAATAATACGTGACAATGTCGTAATAATTTGTGTTAAAAATAAAATAAAAACCAAACTCCTTACCAAAGGATATCTACTGCAATGAATTGAAAATTTGAAGTAAACTCTTAATGTAGATTTTTGTAAAGATATTAATTTTGCACTCAAATATACAATAAAGAAAATTAAAAAGAACATAATAAATATAATAAAGAACGTAAAGAACCCATCACTACGACGGAATAAAAATCTTATGAAAATAAATAATAAAATCTAAAATCCTTGTGATGTGATTGAAATCAGTGTTTAAGACACGTAAACACGTTACGAATGTAATTCGAATAAAAGTACTTTAACGAATTGTAATGCAATGTATCTCATGCAAGAGAATAACTAACTTTCAGACCAACTTAATACATGCAGCAGCACGGTACCAATCGAGAAAGAACCCAAGATACAATATAAATACTTATGAGTAATTTCAACGACCATAAAAGCACACTACATTGAGAAGACCTTATACCACTGAAAACACTTTTAACTGAAATTGTACATTTTTATTTGTTATAGGACTATGTTAATATAGGACGATTTGCCTATCCAGCACATTTGAAGATTTATACTTAATACCTGTAAATAGTTTTAAGTACTATTGTAGTTAATATTACATACTTATTTGCCCGTAGTAGCAGATTCCATATTTCCTACGGTGGATAGCGTTTAGTTTCTGCTCCACTAACTCCACATAAAGCATTCTATGACTTACTACCTTGCCACATGATTTATGTACTTGCATGTTGCAACTAAAAGCTGTCTTGTATGGTTAGACAATAAATAAAAACAATATCCTTAAAAAATGAAGGAAGAAGCAACGAAATGTTGCTGCAATTTCATTATGAATTTTTATTTGTGTGCATAAAATCTCAAAAAGTCAACAACAATAAAAACAGAATATATAAGAAAAATATTATTAAGCAAAAAATATACGCACTCAGACATCCTTACAACAATCTGGATAAAAGAAAGGCAGATAGACTGAAGTGTGCTTCGCTGGTTTGCTTGGTTGGTTGCTTTGCAGTACCATTGAAATTTCATTGAAAATGAACGTAGGGACAACAATGGTGAAAAACTGCAAATGATAATGGAAGATGGAAAATGTGCTGTCAGCGAAAAAATTTCTATCAATCATCTTTGATTTCGTTTGCAATTCAAACGTAATTTTTATTTATTTTGCAATTCGATAATACTGCAATTTTAAGTAGATTATATTCTCTATATTTATAGGGTGTCTTTTTTTATATAGCGGTTTGGTATTTAAGTTGGCAACACTATTTCAGGTGGCAACCATTTTGACAGCTGATTTCTATTCTGTAAATTCTTACCATTTTAACATGAATAGATTTTTGTAAATACTCAAATATATTTCCTAAAACTTATTCCAAATCTTGGGACTCACTACTACGTCACAGAATTTCGCTATAAATGAAATTACCATATTTGATTAAATTCTGTTTCAGAAAATACCAACATTAAACAAATTTATGGGCTCATGGTATCACTGAAACTCAATTGTCGTACTATTGTTTAAAACTGTGATAACAAGGACTGTTGTGTGAATAATATATATATTTCTATTTTATTCTAGGTCTTTTTCATTTAACCAGTCAGCAAATATTTTACCACTTTTATATCAATATTAAAGTCGTACAACAATTTTAGAGAATACCCAGCTGTCAAAGATAAAATCACTCAGCAAAAATAAAATAAATTTTATGATGTTAATTTTTTTTTTTTGGGACAAAGAAGCTTAAAAAATCGTTTTAAAAATTAGAGTTCGATAGAAAAGAAAAGACAAGAACAAAAGTTTAGTTAATTTATTGAACTAAAGCTACTCTTTTATATTAATACTAAAATCGCACTTATTCAGTATTAGTTAAAAATTGTGCAACACTTTCACAAAGTGTGAGTACCTGGTTAAGTGGCAAAACAAACTTAAAACATACAATATATCTTATATCAAAAATGAACACAATATCCATATTGTTAAATACATTTATACAGAATTACTTATGATCTTAATGAGAATTATATTTTTACGTAGCTAATAATTATGTGTATATCTCAGCTTCGAACCAAATATTTTTTCTTTTCACTTCAATAATAAAAAAAATATATATACCTTTTTTCGTTGGACTTTTCAACGGATCGATTAAACTTTTCAATCCGACATATAAGTGTACTTTTCGGTTGTCGGTTCTATTTCGAGTTCGAATATTCGAACATTTTCGAATTTTTCTTAT